AACTCCCATGGGATATTCACCAAAATAGGAAGATGCATCTCATTCTGGGCCATAAGACACACCTTAACAACTGCCCGGGGGCGGTCCCGGGGGGCGGGACGACACCTCTCCCCATCCCCCTGCTTCTCAGGCGCAGCGCCTGCAGCCAGGTCCCCGGCTGGCCTCTCATCCCCGGCTTGGGGAGCTGGTCCTGAGTCCCGCTCGGGGCCGATTACACAATCACTGGGACTGGGGGCTGGGGTCCTCACCCCACCCGGCCCCACACCTGTCCCCGGGTCGCGCTCCCAGGCAGAGGGCAGGGACCCTGCGCGACCTCGGAGGCCAGGAAAGTTTCACTTTGTGGTGTGGGTTTGTTGACATCCAGTAGATACAGAGAGATGGAGGCTGAGCGGCGAGGATGCGCTTCGCGAGCAGCGTTGCATTTGCCTTGTGGTGGCCCTGGTCCAGGTTTCGCTTCCAGAAGTCCTGCCCAGAGCCCTGTTCTGGGGCCGGAGGCTGCTGCTGGGCACGCGGGTCTCCCCGCTTCTACATTAGCGAGCCCTAGATTGCAGCAATCTGGGGATAGCTCAGCCTCTCCCTCCCCCGCCCATTTAAATTTAGCACTGACGTTTAGACCAGGTAGTCGAATTTACTTAGCATTATCCTGACACTTTATATTTGTGAGGTGCTTTGCCATCCCTGATTAGTTAACTAACAAGGTGGCAAAGCAAAATAGATCCTGAAACGCTTGGCTAATGTCTTTTGCAACTCTTTAAGAACCACTGAGAGCTTTAGGCTCTGTTTGCGGTGACAGATGTTTTTGGCCAAGGTGCTGCCAGCAGAGCTAGCTATTCAGCGTCTTTTGGTAGCTTGAGAAAGCTTTGGTAGTAATTGCAAAGCTTTCTCTGCTGCGCCCTGATTGTGTTGTTTATTGAGGGTCTCCAATTTAAGACAGATTATTTAGTTTTATTCACTCAAGCAAAGGAGGAATTTGAAATGTTGCTGATAAAGCAGTTAAGGAAAAAAACCGAGTTTCATTAAGTTTGGATGCTGTCTGCTTTACTGGGTTACCTCTTCTGTGAAGAAAACCTGCACTCTCGTTCCTGCCCCATCTTCCGAGTAGGACTGTATCCAACTGGGTACGAATTACTGGTTCCTCATTTAGGCTGAAGACTTCTTGCTACCTGTGGTTTAAGACCTGCCTAGGGACATCCTCTAAGAGTGGGTTTAATTAGCACTTTCATCTGCCCATTAGGCAATACAGCTTGAAATCCTTTGTAACCAGGCACTGTTGTAGTGTTGAATCTTTAATAATATCTAATTCATTTTAATAGCGTTTCTATAATAATCTTTCTATTAGTATGCCAGTTCCGCAACACCAGGACTTTTAGTACAGAAGCAGCAATTTAGTAGAAATATGACCATGGTAAAAACAATTCTTTAACAGATTTGCAGCCCACTTTACTTAGATAATTACTGCTACAGGCTAAGTTTCTTTTTAATTCCTTGGTGCAGTAGGTGTTATGGTAGTTTTGATCTATAAGGTCTTCATCAGGTCAGGCCTCCCAGTAGTAATGGTTTCAGTCACTATGTCGCTTAAGTATTTTTTGACTAATATATCAGTTTGTGTTCCATACCGATTTCTTTTTCGGACAAGGTCCCAAAATACAAGATTTAGTTTTGATTTGTCAGTCTATTTTTTAAAAAGAAAGGTATTAGTTATATTTGGGGTTTTTAATATTAGAGCTATGATAATGTTTGCTCACATGGATCAGAATGTTTTGAATGCTTTACAGATACTAAGTTATCTGATTCTCATAACTGCCCTATAAGAAAGGTACTATTATGATGGTGTTTCAGGGTACCAGTTGCTTAACTCAGGTCACACAATTAAGCAAATGACAGCCAGATTCTGACCGAAGTAACCTGACATCTGAGTTCATGTCCTCACCCGATGTGCACGTCTGCCTCTATAGACTATTTGTACAACAGGAATTTATTTATACCTGCTGTTCATACAGCTTTACATTCTGCAGCATGGGTACTTTACAGGATCATAAGGAGCATTTGGTTAGGAGGTCTTGGACTGGTCTTAACTTTGCCACCAGCTCATTTGTGATTTTGTTGAACAAATCTTATCTTCCATTTCTTCATTCATGGAATAACAGTTGCTTTGTTTTGTTTTGTTTTTTTGGGTACTGGGGATTGAACTCAGGGCCTTGAGCTTGTGAGGCAGGCACGGTGCCACTGAGCTAAATCCCTGTCCCATAACAGCTGTTGAAGCAGATAAACTAACTAGCTTTACCATCCTGGGTACCTGGTGAAATAAGTCAGTGTATGTAAGAAGTAAATGTCCTCTTTTTATAAGAATGAGTATTACATGAGTGGAGTGTGCCTATGTTTGTGTCACAGAAAAGGACTAGGGGGTGGCACACTCTGCGGCTACCAGTGACTGCCCATGGGATTGTACTCCTTGAGAGACTTCACCTTGAACACTTCAGAATTGATTTATTTTATTTCATCGAGCATTGTTACTTTTGTAATTAAAAAGATGAAAGAGAACCTGAGAAGTCATCGTATGGAAGTGGGGTAACCATGTGTGGGATTATATAAGGGGCATTTGTAGGGGACCATTTGGCATCGCTTTGCAGGAGACTTGGCAGCAGTTGATGGCAGGACCTGAATTGCAGACAAGGGGTTCCCAGAATCACAGCACATCAGGGATGGAGAGAAGCTTTAAAGCTCATTCAGCTTAACATCCTCCCTTCATCATCTGTCCAGTGGATAAGAGCCGCCACGTATGAGCATGGTGCTCATTCTGTTCCTTCACGGGCAGGCATTTGGTTTATACCTAGGACTATGCCTGGTGGTAGGGAATGGGAAACCACAGATGGATTCTGGACTGTTCTGGCTTGAGCTCCTGAAGGGCTATCCATTGTTAGTGTGAGACGAGGATTAGAGAGGAAAGGCTGAGCCAGAGAGACCAGTTAGGAGGCCAAGGCCAGACTCCAGGATGAGGTGATCCAGGTTAAGACAGGCAATGGCATGGGATGGGTGGAGGAAGGAGTACACCCTGGATGACAGAACTCCTCGTACCTAGTGACTGCCTGCTTGCAGCATTGGAGTCAACACTGCCTGGGGACAGGAGAGGATGGATGTTTGGGAGAGCCACTGACAGAGCTGAGAAGTCCAATAGGATGGGAAGGCAGATTTCTCGTCTATGTAGTGATCCCCCAAAGCTTTGTAATAGACTGTGGCTAGAAAAGAGGTTTTTCTTCTTAAGAAGGGAGTGTGCCATTTAAACAGAGTGGGAAACTCCCTCCTCTGCCTAATGAAGAAAAGTAACAGTATTTCCCCATGGGTATTGTCAGGGAACCCAGGTTGGTTTAATTTGCTTCTTGGCCAAGTTGGGAGCTGGCTAATTTTCTGGACTTGTAGGTGCAGAGGGTGGGGGACAGAGCAGCGGAGGTTGCTTTGGAGCATCCTTCCAACTCCGCATCCTAGAGGTGGTGCTGTAGGTCTGGAGAGTTTTAGTTGAGAAAAGAGATGATTTTCATATGGGTACGCGGGGGAGTGGTCCCAGTGTGACTGTTTTGGAGGTGGACCAATAGGACAAACTGGCAATGCTTTTTTTTTTTTTTTTTTTTTTTGAAAAATTTTTTTTTTTTTTTTTTTTTTTGTACCGGCGAATCAAACACAGGTCCTTGCACTTGTGAGGCAGGCAGCAGAACCACTGAGCTAAATCCCTGGCCCACGAAATGTTCTTTTAACAGATTCTGTCCTCCAGTGAGCCTTACTAGATATATGCTGGAGAGCCAGTGTATGTCATGGTGAGTGTGGACGAAGCTGTTGGAAGCTTTCTTTCCAGTTTAAACTCAAATCATGTGGTGCTCCAGGAGGCCTGGGGGGTGAGATGTTTTGATGACCACATTGACTGGAAAACATAATTTGGGGGAAGCAAATAAGATTTAACACAGGAAACTGCAAAGTAAGAGAAGATATAGTTACATATTTCTGGCTTAGGATGTAACATTTCTTAAATATGCATATTTATAAATTTATGTTATAATGTTATCTAATAGTGTATGTGGGAATATACTGCATAATCTTATTTTTTTTTTTGAGGGCAGAATTGACCTTATTTTGCCAGTGTCTGTTAGGCTGATGCTTCTAAACCAAGGGAGATTTTTGCCTCCAAAGGAACATTTGGCAATGCTTGGAGACACGTTTGATTGTCACAATTGGGGATGGTGTATGTACTGTTGGCATCCAGTGGCAGCTGGCGTCTTATAGAGACCAGAGATTCTGCTGACCATCCCACAAAGCACAGAACAGTGCTCTCTCCCACTCACAACGGCTGCTACACAGCCGAACACATTCATAGTGCTGATGTTGGAAAACTTCATGTGATTTTTTAAAACAATTCTGACTAGGAGCAAATTGAGGTTAAAGGAAGAGGAAGGGGAAGAAAATATAAAGTGTTCCTTGACCTCTTCAAAGTGAAAACAGTATCTGTATAGCTGATGTCCAGGAGGAGGACCCGGACTAAACAAGCTGACGAAACACAGGCATTTGTCTGCCACCCAGGAGCTATTTCAATAGTTGCATTGCTCAACACAGTAGTTTGGAACAGGAAGTAAAGGCCCTTGCAGTGGGAGGAGG